CATGCATAACTACTGGCCACCTAGCCACATACCGTATTCTTGTTTGGGTGCAGTCACAACATGCACATCTTGTATGACGCACACACCCTGTATTCAAGGGTACGTGTAACCCCGTTACACACGACGTGAGTTTAAAGAGAAAACTAAAAAGACCGCGTGCTACTGTCTTCCAACTTTTGTTTTCGACTGTATTCAGCCTTGCAAAAATATATTGCTGCAATTGGACAGTAAACACTAAATTTCTACAATTGAGCTCGTATCACCCCGCATAGCTGATCCACCACCAAAAAAAACAAATACAGCTTCTCACGTTACAGTATCGCGATTACCAAATTTGCGAGCAGTGCACCTTTCACAAGTTCAGCTTGGTAGCCCATGTTCTCCCTTTGGCGTAGAAAGGATATAGCGTCATTGTCGTCTGAATAATTACCTCGTTCTGCTCGACTTCAAAATGCATTGAAATTTGATACTTTCGTGTACTAGATATCAATCGGTTGGATTGGGAGACCGAATTGACGGAACATTGCTCGACTTACTTTGCTGCATGTTCGCAAATGACATCTTTTACCAGAATCAGAAATCTGTATAGTGATTGCAATATGATTAGTCTGGCATTCATTCAGTGGGTACGATTGTAAATCAGGATTAAAGGCAAACTTTGAGGAATCTTTTGGATTAGATAATTTGTTAATATAGATGTTAGAGGCGACAAATTACTACATAATAGCCTGCCAAGGCTTCGTGTGCACCACATCATACCGTAAATGCGACTTAGGTCGACACTGATGTGGAGCTGATTAAGGAACTGTCGCTATGTTTCTTCAGCCGCGACAGACCCAGACTGATCTTCACGGGTATTCGGTACGAGTTGCTGTACGTTACTAAATATACGCTAATTCTTATCGGAATATGATATCAATCAGGTGGAATTCAGTCCGTTTGTGGACAACCTTGTGGCAGTTGGAACCGCTCAATATTTTGGAATCGTGGGCAATGGCCGGCAGCATGTGTACGAGATGCTTCCGTCGGGAGGATTTGCTCCAGTAAGCCGCAAATGTTACGGCTGATGTATAGTAAAATTTCTCGTGTTTACTGACATGTATTGCTAGATCCGAGCTTTTGACACGCCCCAGGGTGTTTACGACTGTGCTTGGAGCGAGAACAATGGACAGCAACTCGTAAGCTCGTGTGCGGATGGATCGATTAAGCTCTGGCATTTGCAGACACGCGATCAATTCCCAATACGAAATTTTCACGAACACGTAAAGGAAGTGTCTGGAGTGAATTGGAATTTAATTTCAAAAGATTCGTTTGCGTCAGCATCATGGGACGGCACGGTAAAAATTTGGAAGCCTGAGGCTCCACACTCAATCATGACTTTGGCAGAACATTCGAGTGCTGTGTACAACGTTGTGTGGAATACGCAAAATAATTCACTAGTGGCGTCCTGTTCCGGAGACAAAACTGTTAAGATTTGGGATCTCAATAGTGCTAGGTCCGTTTCGACCATTGAAGCACATGGCAACGAAGTGCTGGCTCTTGACTGGAACAAATACAATCAGTTTGAACTCGTGTCTGGATCAGCCGACTGCGCGATCAAAGTCTGGGTACGCAATACGTTCACTGCTTTCAATTGACTAGCTTCTTATTTTAAATGAACTTGCAGGATATTCGAAATCCTACACAAGTCCTTCGGATGCTGTCAGGTCATAGCTATGCAGTCAGAAGGATCAAGTGCTCGCCACACGATTCGAACGTGATCGCATCGGTGTCGTACGACATGTCTGTGGGTGTTTGGAACACAAAATCACCGTATCCGCGACTTCAGATTGCGCAGCACCATAGTGAATTTGTTCATGGCTTTGACTTTAGTCTCTTTAACGATGGTCTAGTGGCTTCATGCGCTTGGGATCGAAAAGTAGCCGTTTGGAATTACTTTGGCGGGCCACCGCCATCACTGCCACGCTAAGTTCGCGTTCGAATATTAACAAATAAAGTTCGTAATATATAACTTAAAACTAGATGGAGGCGCCTAAAAAAGCAGGCTTTTGGACGGAACACAAGGACCCTCAAAGCGGAGTGAGTGAGTGCGTTCCTTCCTTAAACATCTTGTACCAGTGGTGTGCTGGCTCTGTTGCATTGTCTGATCTATGATATTTTTCCATATGTAACTTGAAAGCGTACATACTATTTCAATATGGTACTGGGACGCAGCTACTGGGAGCTACCGTCAGACATGTTGACTCAAGTTAAAAAGCCAACGCTAGATGCACTGCGTGAGTGGGACCCGGAGACAGCAGAGTCCAAATACGGTGCTGCCAAAGAGCATTTAAGTGAGGAGGATGAAGAAATTCGTAAGAAACGGGAGGAGGCATTGGCCAAGTCCCGTATAGAAGCTGCAGGAGCTCAGGCCACATCTACAAAGCTATCATTGGAAGAGAGAATGGCCCAAGCAGCACAGAAAAAAAAGGCGATAGAGGTTCAAGCCAGTGGAAATCGACCGCCAACTTCCCGCGCTGATAGCTCCAATGAGTATCTAGAAATGGTTCGGCAATTGCAGCAAAATAATGGCAGCGAGGAAGGAACAGGAGGAAAATGGCTTGTGAGATGAAAGAAGAACGAAAGAACAAGTCGTTTCGATTGTTGGTTCGTAAGCAACTATTGAGATGTTCGACTTCCTTTCGTCTCCCGTTTAACTTAAGTGATTCTCGTCGCGTGCCGTTTCTGCAACGATAACGCGCATCATAAAAACGTTTCATAATCATATATCGTATTGAAGATATCAAAGCGTAGATGTACCCGCTTGTATGCTTGGTATCGGTCCTGAAAGGAAATGGACTTTTCCTCGAGCACAGTCTGCGTCTTGGGTTTAAGGTCAAATAACTCCTGGATGAACGGCATCTTGGCCAGAACACATTTCCATACAACGAGCCAGCTGATAGTTAGCGTCAAAAGCACGATACACACCGCCCCAGATACATATGCGCCCGCCAAAACCATCTCCTCTAGCCTCATGTCGATTCTCCGCCGTGATGCGAACTTACCATTCAAGTTCGCACTTAAAATCAATGCATCAAATTCTCAATGTAACGAAAGGTTTATACTTTGTAGTAGTAATATTTATTTATTGTATTCACACATCCTCCGATAGGATTGCTGTACTGTAAGCCTTGACATGACAATCGTCATGTATGATGCGGAGCCGCCAGCAAACTCTCTACTTTGGGTCATATTTTTGTCAAGAGCATAATTCTTTAAAACTGAAGGCGACGACGAGTATGAGCACGCAGCACATAAGCAGTCCTTCGGCAGCTCCATTGCTGCAACTGTACAGAATTCAGTTGTGCATTGTTGATACTTTTGCACATTCCTTCCTCAACACGAAGCTTCTTGTTCTGTATCCGATCTTGCTGCATGAATGCTTGCTCACGCTGCTCTTTTTCGAGTTCGCGTTTGGTCTTTCTAAACACCAACGGCTTGGTGTGCGGCGAAACGGCGAAAGGATCATGTGGTACCTTTCGTAAATATGTAATGTGCCGTGATGGACTGGACACACGTTGCGCCTCGTTGACTTGGCGATCAACATTGTGCTGCTGATCCATCATCTTGAGTTCGTTATACAGTGATCGACTATGCAGCAATAATTCTGTCAAGGAGCACCACGATCTTCTAGGCGCTACTTTTGAGGGCATTCTGCTGGTCGAATCGTTTCGATCAACTAAAGCAATGGCGAATCGAAGCTGTTAGTTAACGAAGGATACTACCACATATACAAATACAAATCGCATTAACCTTAGAGAGATTTGAAATCGTGGAGCTGTTTAATTGCTGACTTCCATGAAGTTCAGATACTTTGCTAATTCGAAAATTTAAAATAGCCACCACCTATTACAATTGAAATCTGTTGAATAAATTGATTTTTGAACGCTGCTATCGTTAAAAGTTACTCAAACTTTTAAAATGTAAAATTCATTCTTCGAACTTTGGTGACGAGACAATTGGACGTGACATGGAGGCGCTGCAGGATAAAAAGGTTGAATTCTTTTCGATGGAAAATATGAAGAATAACGAGAAGGCAGTCGAGTACGTGCACACGTCCATGTGCGTCATCGCGGGTTGCATCGCAGGCATCACGGGCATGACGGGTCTACAAGGCTTTGCCTTCCTGGCACTTGCTTATATCTTTACGGCCATCTCAATTTGGGTGTGTAAGCTCGGTATGGATGTCAAGGTTTACTTCAACACAGGCGCTTTCAACTTTATTTTTGGGGGGATTTTTTCGCAGGCTCTATCCTTCATTCTCTTTTGGACGCTTTCTTACGGACTCGTTCATATTTATTGATTGTTATCCAGTACGTAGACAGATTTGATTAATACGCAAGACCATTTAGTAGAACAAAAATAACAGTACTTATGCGCTTTGCTGTTGAAACAACTGAATAATAGATGTCAAATAAATCAAAACTCGCTGCATCGTGTATTTTGCTGTCCTTCATGGATTTGGTGCTACTTGCGCTGAGCTTCTTGTACCTTTTGCTGCATAATCATAAGCACGGCCTCAAACATGTTGCGTTTGTTGTCAATGACCGTTTTGAGTTGGTCGGTGTTGCTCTGCAGAAACTCAATTTTTCGATCCATGAACTGTGCGGCCTTTTCCACGGATTGCTCAACAAAATAGCCAGTGCCCAAATCGACTAACACTTCGTCCTTGCTGGCTAGTTTTCCGGGTACAAACATGGATGCAGTCAAAGGAATGAGCACCTCTTTATTCGAATCTGATGACGCCATGCTCTTTAAAGCCTCCTTCGATTCGCCAAATCGTGATTGGGCCTCGGATAAACCACCAAAAGATGCTGTCAGCTGCTGCAGCTCGTTCTCCAGCTGTCCCTTAAGTGCATTTAGCTGCTCCAGCGATAGATCTACAAGGTTCACCTCACTCTGCACGTCCGCCATGGATCCGTGTCACACACCAATAATTGTATTTTCGTCTATTTCGACCAATTAAAAGCATTACATTAATTCTAAACTTTATTTTGACCACTCGCAGTCTGTTCTGAGTCGCTATTCTCGTCATCCGTGCCCAGATAGCTCCAAAGCTTCATGGCCACCTCAGTAGCACGTTCTCGTCGCTTTTCATCTGAAAGAGACTTACACTCGTCACGGACATTGCGAACTTCTGCGATCATTGCACTAAACTGAGCCATGTCCACATCGTCGTTCTCATAACTTGAGACTTTGCCATCAAGCTTAAGAGCCTGCAACAGGGCATGACACTGTCCATCATCCGCTGCGTCGACCTGTTCGCTTGATTTACTGCTATCTAATCTTTTCTCAGCGGTCGACGCTGACACTTCGTCCAAAGCTGGTAATGTAGAATTCTTTTCCTTTGCCGAGTTCATCTCCATAGATCTCCACATGTTGCACTGCAACGCTTCTAGCACCCGCTCAATGCCCTGTTTTTCATTGATAACGTTATCTTCATTTGAGACTTTCACTGGATTCAAATCTATAAATTCAAAGCCGGTATCTTCACACCACTTCACCATCTGCTTGATGTTCTCTGTCGACGTCGGCCCAGTTGACGTGCTCGTTACTAGCAGGCACACTTCGTACGGTACAATGTCCACGAGGCGTTGGGCAAAGCGATCCAAATTCAGGAAGCTATCATGATTGTTAGCGTCTACTACACACATGACTGCCTCATAATCATGCAGTTCGTGCTGCAGTACGGGCTCCGGTGTGTTGTCACGCACAAGGTGCAAATGCAGCTGCACAGGCGCTCGATAGTATTTCGTCCGAATGTTCAACACCGGGATGTCCTGAAGACTATAAGTACTCGATGCAGTACTTAAAACTTGTAATTTGGATGTCACTGCCACATTGCTGTCCTGATCGGGGCCGAGCACAAGAAGTCGTGATACTTCGGTCGCCATAACAACGAGGAAGAAGAGACGCTATGTACAAAACATTAACTATGATGATCCATTTATTATGCGCATAACATATGGCGCATTTTTTCGTTGTTGTTGCTAGTCCACTTTAGTGACATATCTTCGGTCCCAGAACGGTAATTACTAGTCGCTTATAATAGGATCAATAGGCGAATGTAGAAACGAGAAAAGACTCCAGTCGCCAACGCAGTAATCTCTGATGAGTACTAACATTTAATTTGTGGGAACAATCAGCAACGATACTTAAGCGTGACCACGATATAACAAATCCAAGCTTACTCGAAAACTATACTAACGCATAATCGAGACTTGCAAATCTCTCCCTATTTAACTTCATAAACCTGCCTGTGTCCAACTCAGGCACTTTCATGGCATCACAAAGGCCATCAACTCCCGACCCAAATACCAGCTATGAGCATCTATTTCAGTCACTAGCGCGTCACTCGCGTGTCTTTCCGCTGTGTAGCTCCAACATTTCGCTCTTAGCTAAACCTGCCGACTTCTATCGGCAGCTACTGCACAACATTGAGCACGCACAGACTCGCATTACCATTTCATCACTTTATCTTGGAACTGGCGAATTGGAGCGCAATCTAGTGGATGCACTAATTTCAAGACTACAAGCTCGATCGCAGCTTCAAGTGCGAATCGTACTCGACTATTCACGCGGCCAACGTGGCGGTCTCTCGGCTAATTCTGTGACGATGCTAACTCCACTATTGCAGCTGTTTCCCAATAATGTAGAGCTCTTTCTTTTCCGCGTTCCGCAACTTTCCGGACTTTCTGCAATGCTACCTCCCCCATTTAATGAAGCGTTAGGTGTTTCCCACGCAAAAGTTTATCTCGTTGATGAAACGCTTGTGCTTAGTGGTGCGAACTTAAGTCACGACTACTTTACAAATCGACAGGATCGGTATATGCAGTTAATGGATTGTGGACAACTCGCTCAGTTTTACCATGAATTTGTCACATTAGTGACGCAATACTCATATAAAGTGAAATTAAGGTCCTCTGCGAAAGATCAAAACAGTTATAAGTTATTGTCACCATCATTGGCGCATGACTCGAAAGAAGCAAAGATGACTATGAAACGCGACTTGGAAGATATGATCGATTCAAACAAACACGATCAAAATAGAAACAAAAATATTGATTCGGATACGTGGGCGTTCCCAACATTGCAATTTTCGCCCATCTCGTTAAACCACGATGAACTTATTTTAAGTCAATTTGTGAGGCAATTGCCGCGAAATTCGAAGCTACAAATCGCGTCGGGATATTTAAATTTTCCTCCTTTTTTGAGAAATTTGTTGGAGCAATGTGAAGCTCAGCTTGACGTAATTTCGGCTGCACCTCAAGCAAATGGATTTTATAATGCTCGTGGTGTGAAAGGAGCTTTGCCAATGGCGTACTCGCTGATTGAGCAAGATTTTTTTGAGCGGATGCTTAAACGCGAGTCCAAAACAGTTTTAAGAGAGTTCAATCGACCTGAATGGACATTTCACAGCAAAGGCATGTGGTGGGCACCTCCTTCAGTGCACGACAAGTGTGTTAAGAACTTTCCACACCTCACGGTAGTAGGAAGCTCGAATTTTGGACAGCGATCATATGGTTGTGACTTAGAATCTAATTTAGTCATGTTTACGCGCAATTCGGAGCTTCAGCGCCGTCTACAAGATGAATTCGACGCTCTTACTCGTGATGCAGAAGTCGTAACTGAGCAGCTCTGGAGGAGGCATGAGCGTAATTTGCACGGTTTTTTTAGCTGGAAAGATGGTCACTGGATACGACCCGTGTGCAGATTAATTGCTGCGTACCTTTAAGTCAGCAAATCACTAACTAGAATATATTACAATATTTCGGCAAGGTGTTGCCGAGCATAATAATGAATTGTCTTTTTAATTCAGCAAGTTGCCAACAGTGACTTGTAAGAATACACCTGATAGTAGTGGTAAAGTAATATTGTCGTCCCAACCTCCAATATCCAGTAGCTCTGCAGCTGCTGCGGCAGTTCCTGCTGCCAGCGAAATTGTGCTCGCAAATGCTAAAATGCCACCGCTTGAAACGTCAAAATAAAAATCTCGTTCTACCATCAAGGCTATAAAAGTAGCACCCGCAGCGACGCAGAAGCACCCAATTGAGCCTTCCACTGACTTCTTGCCACCTAGTTTTCCAATATATTTGACGAACTTGTGTCGACCGTATAATGTCCCAAAGAACGCAGCAGCTGGGTCGCCTACCGATAACTATCAGGACAACGTTAGAAACTAACATATACCAAACTAGAAGTCCAGTGTCCGTACGTGAAGTATAGCAAGACGTGCGACTCGAAATGAAAATAATCGCAGGGATAAGCCTGATCCTAATAGAAAGTAATATGCACCAGGCAGCACGGTTCTCGATACTTCGTATTGTCGCAATATATTGCGAAAACACTTGATGTACGCCGTATCAATCGCCTTGTTGCACCCTCTCAGTTTGTGCAGTCCATAGAAAAGTGCAGCAAATAATAAAAGTACCAGACATCCCGCCCTTCGCCCAAAATATCTTGAAGCCACATAGATCATAGCACCAGTGCCCATATGTTGTACTTTTCGCTGTAGATGTAAATCTCCACGTCTCGCGATACCATTATGAGTTTCGGTCGACAATCGAGCTGATACAAGGTACTGAAATAGCACGATAAAAGCTACGCATGCAATGCAAGCGGCTACCGAGACTGCGTCAGCGGGATTGGTAGACATCCAAAGTATTACCTGAAGTACAAAATAATATATTTACAGACTAGTATACTACTCACATGTGCTACTATGCAAATAAATTAGTCAAATTAGACTAAAAATCGCGAAAGATGTTTGTGCCATCTTCAAAATAAGGCTCCACGCAAGTATTTAGCTCTTCTTGAGACTCATCATCTATTGTCTGGAAAAAAGATGTGTCAAATGGTCCATTGATCTTGGGAATGAAAGGTGCAGGGCATTCACGAAGGACCAGTTGCTGCCAGTCCTCTGGGGACGAAAATACACGTGTGAAAAAACTGTGCTGCTTGATCTTCTCGACAGAAGACAGTCTTTCATCCGGATTCTTCACCAAGAGCTGATTAATGAGGTCACAAGCTAGCGGACATTCCTCTTCAAACTCATTGGAAAACTCCACTTCATCGTGAGTAATTCTACGACCAAGTTCGCGTGGGTTTTCATGATAAAATGGGGTTTCGCCAAGCAAAAGCTCATACATGATGATACCAAACGACCAAATATCCACGCGATGATCATGAGACTGACGAAGAAGTACTTCTGGTGCCATGTAATCCATACTACCACACAAAGTGAGATTTCGTGCGTTCTGGCTTTGTTCACAGCAATCATCAGTATCTTCAGCACGTTGTGCGTCTAGCTTAGCGAACCCAAAATCAAGAATTTTAAGAAACCCCTCATCATCAAGCACCAGATTTTCCAATTTCAGGTCTCGATATAACAAATTTTGGTCGTGTAGATACTCGAGAGCACACAAGATGCAGCCCAAGTAAAATATCGCGTACTCTTCCTTCAGTCCACCAAAGTGGTTGCGCAAAATAGAAATTTCATGTGCCTCAAGAGTTTGAGATTGAATAGACACCAAATTACCGTCCGTCATCGAGTTCAGTGCGTTGGGTGGCGTGGGTAATCGGAGCTCGCTGGGGTCATCTTTAAATTCTAAATTACCAGCCTTGACAGCGTTTGGGCCATCTTCCTGGTCTTCACGATGCGAGTATACGAGGCTATATATCTCCCCTCCTGGCAAGTACTCGAGCACTAAATACAGACAATCATCGTCCTGAAAAGTACCATATAGCTTTGCAATCAGCGGATGTTGCATCTGTAAGTGCACTGTACGCTCTCGCAAAATATGCTTCTCTTGACGCATTGCAACCACATGTTCTTTAGACAACACCTTTAGTGCAACACTAATACCAGTAGATTTGTGCATTGCCAGCTTCACTACACCATACGTCCCGACGCCCAGCACACGAATGATGTCGAAGTCATGAGCTGCTAACGTTTGAAGCTCTGGATTGTTGCACTGAAAAAGCATTGTCGTCTGATCTGGTATCTCTGTCAGCCTTCGCTTATGACATCCAGTACCCATGTCAAACTCCGTTTTAAATGCTGAAAAGATCATTGCATCAGAATTGCAATGGTGCTTTGCTGCTTGGCAACTCATGACACTAGCTTTATAAATGAAGGATAAAGACTCGATTAAAATATTGCCAGATATCGCACATACGTCGTCTATACGCACCAGTCTCTTGCTGAAAGCAAAGTCAATTTGAGCATGCTTGCAGAAAGTGTTGCCTCAGAATAGAATAAACTACGATTCTCACGGATAAGACATTAGGGAAAGTGGATTCTTTTCCATGTAATGATAGAAAAAAATTAAAGTTGGATTTTTCATTTACAATTTGTAGACAAGTGCTGAAATTTTACAACACGACTATAGAATTAAAAATTCGACTTTTATGACGTATGTGGACACATAGAGTTTGGTATGAAGGTTATTACACTAACTTTGGATCAACAACTACCGAATAGCATACATCAACACACTGAAGATATCGGGTTAATACCCAAAGTCCGAGTCAGCATCACTGCACATACTACCTTTGTGTTCTTCTGAAACACGCAAAAATAGACTTGTATCGAAGAGACCATTTAGTCTTGGAACAAATGGAGGCTCTGTCTTTCGTGCCTCGAGTTCTTGCCATCTTTGAGCAGAGGGGAAGTATGTACGAAAAAATACCGTCTTTTTCACGTCAGTAAATGTTGCAATTCGTTGTGCTGGGTCTTTCTCGAGTAGATTTTGGATCAGAGAACAGACTGCTGTGTGTTGTTGTTCGTATTTGCTCGGGAAATGCACAGGTTCCGAAAGGATGCGTCGGCCTTGTTCTCGGTGATTGGCATGATGGAACGGTGTCACCCCAAACAACATTTCGTACAAAAGAATTCCAAACGACCACAGATCCACGCGTTGATCGTACACTTCATGCTTTAGAATCTCAGGAGCCATGAACTCGAAACTTCCACACATCGTCGAGCTTCGCACAATCTTCTCCGTTTCACTTGACTTTGCTAGACCAAAATCAATGAGCTTAAGGTATCCCGCAGCGTCCAGCACGAGATTCTCTAGTTTCAAATCGCGATATAAAATGCCTCGCATATGCAAAGACTCAAGTGCTGTCACTAGACACGCTGCGTAAAAGGCCACATAGCGTTCATACAGTCCTCCATGTGAGCTACGTAACTCTTGTTTCGAAAGATGCTTATCTAATGACAACCTATTGCGACTTACCGCAAAACTTGGTCTACTCTGTTCTTCATCTGACTCGGATTCAGTAACCTCAGGCTCATCTATTTCGCTACCACGTTGTCTACTCTCCACGTCACTTAAATCATCACTCTTTTCATTTTCCTCTTCGTGTCTATCATCGTGCATATACACCAAGTTATACAGCTCTCCTCCGGGACAGAATTCTAAAACAAAGTACAGAGCTTCCTTATCTTGAAAAGTCGCATAGAGTTTTGCAATAAACGGGTGCTTCAGTCCCAAATGAATGCTCTGCTCTCTTAAAACGTTTGATTCCTGCCTCAAATCAAGCATCACAGCTTTCAGTAAGATTTTGATAGCGACAGCAGCTCCTGTATCCAAGTGTCGTGCAAGATGCACAGAGCCGAAAGTTCCTTGACCCAGGACGTCCAGTAGCTCAAACTCGTCAATAGCTGTAGACTTTTCAAGTTCAGAGATAAAATGCAATCTCTTTACCGAAGACCTTCGCGCTTTAGTGCTGACGGGGAGGTAATTCGAGGCAAAATTATACCGCTTGGCTAAATCTTGAGTTGAACTTTTGCGTTGGTGAGATTTTTTAGTGATCATGGCGCGAATTTCGTGTAATATATGCCACATTGGCGCCATGGATGATACGTCTATGATCTTGGCGCTAGTAGAGTATAAAGCGACAGTGGTGCGTGAAATGATAACTGGTATAGGTTCATGTCACCGGAATGAGGCATTGTTCCACGCATGTTCTTAATGTTACGTTCTTGACCACAATCTCATTAGATCAGCATCACCGTTCGTCGAAACGTCGCTGTCGTAGTCCACATCAATGGGTTCCATCTGCTTATCGAATTATGGCGATGGTGGGGTCGTGGTGATGTCGACAGTGTAGTGATGTCAATGATTTAGACGCAATACTGACGCTTTTTCTTGATGCAAAATCGAGTAGATAGATGGTTATAATTAATCTACGTCTAAGAGCAAATCAGTTCAGCAGCATACCGAACAAAGTGACGATAGCATGTCGTCAGCACCACCGAACAAAGATGTTCATCTTTGTATCGCACAGTATTGGACGATAAGAATGATGTGAGGGAATAGAATGATGACTAAAGCTCGTCATAAAAATAAGATACCTGATCTTAACGGCTACCTACATATAAGTTCTGTATGACTGCAGGCGCACGTGCCGATATCGTCCGTAGAATGGCTCTAGAAATTTCTTACAGCATCACATGCATACGTTCTCACTTTTCTGACGAAAGTGTAGAATTTCACCTGTTCTGGCGCACATGTATAGGTTCCAAGAGCATATTTCTATGATAATAGTGCACATCTTAGTTCCTACGTCAATGCTTTAAAAGAATGTACTCAGTGTTTAGTCGCTAGTCGACGCTAGAATTAGAAGCTCAATCAAACGACATGACACTTATCAGCGAGACAAGTTGTTATCTGTGATTCTGCGTCAAAAGAGCCTTTTTTATCTAAGACAGCTAAAACAAAATTGGACTTATTTTGGCGATCGGCCAGCTTTGTAATCGCAACGGATCATAAGTCATAGTATACTTTCAACTTACGAAGCTGGCGGCACAATCTGATGCTGTCAGACCATGTTTATTAATCCCATTTAACAAGTCCGACTTGCTGGTGTGCATCCGGGTACTGCCAAATCAATCTGGTGGACCAATTGCAGGGGTACGTACCTCGGAAAAAAGGACTGAGCTACATGATACACAATAATACAGTAGGTATTATTACAATATCAAATAGCTTATAAAATTTACGTTTCTCTTTTGTGAAACTGTAGATTCATATGAAACTAAAGTATTTGTGCCAAAGTCGATAAGGAGAGAGATTCATGCCATTGAATTTTGGTTTATTTATATTTTAAAATGTTTCTATAAAAAGTGAAAAAATTATGCTCACTGAATGTTACGCTTGATGTAGCAAAGCAAATTAAGTACTAGTTACGTTGGAGGCTCTCGGTCTCGCATCTGAGCGGAGCTTACAAATCCAACGTCTGTGCTGTGGTTTATGCTGTTTATGTCAAAGCTTCTTATGGGCAAGATATTTTGGTAGCCCTTGTAGTCAATCCGTCGACTGGGTCACACAGAGACAGTATCAACAGCAGCAAAATTGGTGAATGGGCTGATAAGACATCCCGATAAAGAGTATCGGTGGCAGCACAATTGGTATCCACCGCGGGGTACGTATTTTACCATTGTGTTTGCACACCTTATGTTTCTGGGCAATTGTGTAGAAAATATTAAAAATGTTGTACTTAATTTACTGCACATCTCTCTGTACTCAACTGGACCAAAGAGTCGTCTCGTTCGAAGACAATGAGACCCCGCAAAGATGTTCTGCGTTTTTAGCCTAACTTCAAGCAATACAGTTAATTTTGTTATTGGATATGGTAGTATGTTTTGCATTTCGTATTATGAAAAGATAATTCTATGTTTAAGAAAATTACAAACGAAAGAAAGGAAGTCGAGAGACTCTTTCCCCGCTTCAGGGTGTGGTAAATAACCTTAACATGTGTGGGCTGTTTACGATGTAGGGCAACCCTATTGCAGGTCGCCTCTGAGTGCCGAAAGAATGATTTGAAGAATGTTTTAGCTGGATACAAGCTCTTTTATCATATAGGTACAGAACACTACTGTCCCCTCTATTAAAGAAGATCAGAAGGAATGGGAGATTAGTCATAATAACGAGTACCTGCTAAGGATGAAGATTATGAAGCTCCGTTAACGAGAGGTCCGTGAGTCACGTAAGGTGCTAGTCTTGTACAATGTGCTCTCAAGATCTCGTTGTGATGACCAGTAAAAGTATTATTCCTCGCTCTAGCTCAACTATCTCGAACTCTAGATGTAACACTTGAAATTTGTTCAAATAATACTGTTTGCTTGAGAGGACGTCAGGTCGGCATTTAGTTGGAGCAATTGGAGCCATTCATTCTGTGTTTGTCAATGCGGAATCTAAGTGTCACACCTACGAGGTGAAGATAGATGCTGTTTCTATACTGATGACAATAAGACATGCTTGACAAAGTCATGTCATTTAGCTGCCCCTAGAGGGTAGCGCAATTGGTGGTTCAGATCCCAGGATTGGTCATTGCTTGGCTTGAGACGTTAAGCACTGGTAATATACCTCCAGGAATTTCAGAGCCAGGATCTCGTTGCTACGAAAGCGACGTTTGCGGTAAGACCATTCTTGCTAAGCGCAAAATACCTCGACGATTAAAACATAGAGAAACATCTCTGGGTACGATTAATTGAAATTGAATTGCTTCAGACGAAGCTTAAATGTGTAGCGCAGTCGGTTTTCAAGCTAAGTAGCTGCGCGAGATGATGTAAACACATGTCGTCTCTCCATCGATGACAAATTTTCAAGTTGAGAAATATATGTCGTGATCGATCGATTGCCAATTCGAGTGCAGTGTGCGTGATCAAGGCTCTTGTCCATTTGTCATAAAGAGTAAAAAAAGGTGAATTCTACTCATTAGTTGAAAACATGATAGCGAGATGAGTGCGGGTCATTTTCGAAATCTGGAACGGCTGTCAACAGCATGATAATCTCCGTGCGGAAGCGACAAGCAGCAAACCTTCCCTGACATCTATAATGTCTAATCCACAAGGGGGTGATTGAGACGTGGGAGGTGGAAGTAAATGAGATCACCTGTGATGATAGAGAAACCATCAAATTGTTGAAGGATGAAGTTCCAAGCTGACCCGCAGAACGGGTATACTGACAGATCTTACATTATGGGCATAAAACAAACATTTATGCTCTGCATGTTTCTTATATTCTCGGTCTAGATATGCAAAAGATTAAGCTCTCACGCAGGGTCGATGGAAAGTCCACCAAAGAGAAAATTTGATTCTCGACTCAGGAAAAGACTGGTTTTTGTACCTTGTAAAAGTCATCACACTCACAAGCCTCGTGAAGCAACATATATTTTAACATTTTCACGAGCGCTGTGCATTCATGGGCCATACGTGACTATTAAATACCGTAGGCGGTATGCGTGGAATTGAAGATAAGGGCATGGATATGAATCTGTGGTGGGGTTGCGCTGAGAAAGCATCAAAGTTCTTTTGCATCATCCCCAAAATGTATTCATTTTAATAATGCTTAACTATCATTGGTCTTATACCTGTATTGAGATTATTTCTATCCCAGTTAAACCGTGGTTGGACCTCTATGAGTCTTCGATCGACGGGAAGGGGAGGACCAAGATACCACCTCTGATAGGGAGGAGAAGTGTTTTGGCGCGGACACAAAGCTATAAAAACTGCGATACAAGACATAAGATTGTTCGAATCAGTTGGCTACAATATTGATATATGTCTTGCAATGAGATTGAACGACAGAGGAGATAGTGAGATGCTTACTCCAGAGATGAGACATGGAATGTTTTGGGTAAATTGCGGTCTCCTGAAGAAACTGGACGTAATGATCAAAATTTGAGGTCCCCAGGGTATACTTAAGTTGTGAGCCGTGGTCGACAGAGATCACCTCATACTCACAAAAAGATAGAGTACTTTCCGTTGTGTGATGGCGCTAATTAATAAATGCTCATTGTACAAAACATCATAAGTATTCTGATAGCTAAATCTTGCTTGAAGGTACATGGCTGCGATTTATGTGGGGTTGTGTTTGACACTATGATCCTGAGATTGCGGTTGCTCGATTCATTGCAGCTCATCGTAAACAGGCACGTAATACTTTACTATCGCTTTCAAGGCATCAAAAGTTGTAGCGAATGAGCTTGTTTATGAAGATGCCTGATGCCAAAGATCCATATGTGTGATTGAGAATCCAGAATTTAGTGACCATCATACTAACACGCTAGAACGCGTCTCCTGGTCTACAAGCAAGGATGACGTCATATCTCAGCTGCTATCGACGTGACGGTAAAATTTGTGTACTGAACGGTGTTGCCGTGTTAATTTGAAACAGTTTGACATTTCAAACACGTTGTAACTCGTCTCCTGTCCTAAAAACAATGATGACGTCATATCTCAGCTGCTAACAACGTGACGATGGTTTTAGTGGGCAAAACGGTGTTGCCGTGTTGATATGAAACATTTTGATGCCTCAAACACGCTGTAACTCGTCTCCTGCCATTGAAACAACGATCTCAGCTGCTAGCACCGTGGTAATAGTTTCAGTGCCCTTAACAGTTTTTGCATGTTGATTTAAAAATATGTGAGTCGCAGACCCCGCTGTTACTAAGATATTGTGTTAATGTAAAGTGTCAGAAACAACGAGAAATGTACCTACATGAGAGACGTAACGAGTAAGGAGTCAGGCTCTAAAGGTAAGAAAATTGTTCATAGCTGAAAGATTTATCCGCGGCGACATGTGCAAGGAGACGCCAGGTCGATTGAAATTAGGGAAACATTTAGCTCGTTATCACTCTTTCAGTAAAATAATCGTGAAGAATACTCGCAAAGCGCCAAGTGCGCGAAGTCGAATCGCTATCCGTACAGATCGTACAAATAATTTCTATCGTTAGTTTAAGTAAGTGGCGAGTAATCCACGGCGCGTATTCACCAGTGATTGGTGTGCGTCATGAAAAGTGACTCCACTCA